TCATCTTTGACAAAGGAGCCAAACACCCTCACTGGAGGAAAGATAGCCTCTTTAATAAATGGTGCTGGAAAAATGGGGTTTCAACTTGCCAGAGATTAAAACTAGACCTATATATCTCACCATGCACTAAAATAAAATCGAAGTGGATTAAAGATCTACATATTAAAACAGAAATGCTGAGGGGCTGGGGATTTAGTTCAGTGGTTTCACCGCCTGCTGTGCAAGTGCGAGGACCTGAGTTCAATCCCCGGTACCAAAAAAACCCACAAAAACCCAGAAATGCTGAACCAGCTGGAAGAGAGGTTAGGAAGAACTCTTGATGACATTGGTGTAGGAAAAGATTTTATGAACAAAACCTCAGTTGCCCTTGAATTAGCACAAACAATCAACAAGTGGGATCTTTTCTTTCTAAAAAGTTTCTGCACAGCAAGAGAAACCACCAGCAGTGTGAAGAGACAATCCACAATGTGGGAAAAAATTTTCACCTGCTGTTCCTCAGACAAAGGTCTACTATCTCGAATCTATAAAGAAGTTTAAAAAATCAGACCTCCCAAATTTAGAGATCCAATCACAGGCACAGTAGTACATACCTATAATACCAGCTGAAGAAACTGAGGCAGGAAGTTCACAAGTTTGAGACCAGCCTGGGCAACTTAGTGTGATCCTGTCTCAAAATAAATAATAAATACAAAGACCTGGAGATGTACCTCAGTGCTCCCTCAGTTCAATTCCTAGTACTGAGGGGAAAGAATTACAGCCTTGAGGGCTGGGGATTTAGCTCAGTAGCATCATGCCTGCCTCGAAAGCATAAGGTCCTGAGTTCCCCAGTACTGGAAAAAAAAAAATTCCTATACAGTACAGCCTTGAGGGCCTGGAGGTGTAGTTCAGTAGTAGAACCCTTGCCTAGCAAGCAAAGACTCAAGTTCCATCCCCAGCACCACAAAAAAAAACAACAAGCCTTTGATAGTATCCAGCAGCTTCTACTAATACACATCATTGTTTGAGCATGCTGGCAAACTGAACATTTGCCAATAAGCACCACCAGTTCCTTGCTCAATGTTCAGATGTCTCCCACGGCATCTCAGGATGTCACAAACAGTGTGCTGAAGTGCAGGCAGATACAGCAGGCAACAGGGAGTGCATAAATCCCTGGCATTTTCTGGAGGTGTTAAGGAGTCTCCCTCTGAACCCACTGATACTTGTACCAGAACCATTCCCCTTATTTCTTTCTGGATTTTCTCGTGCATTTTTGCTAAAGTTGATCGAGTGAAAAGCTCACATACTTGACTTTCCTTTCCAGGAAGTACAGGTACAACCCATTTTTGAAACTTCTTTCCTTTACAGTTCCATGATCTCAGCAGAGGCTCTGCCAGTAGGGACCTGAGGGACTTATTGGAGCAATTAGTTGCTAACTAAAGTTTTTGGCTTAATCAAATTTTCCTCTTTTAATAAATTCCATATGCTCCGTTTTTCCTTCTCAACGTTTCCTTCCTGGCTCATTTCAACTTCATCTTGGTCTTCAGAATTTATGAATGGAACCACAGCATCCTAGCAGTAGGGCTACTGGGCACACCTTGTTTCTTGTCTGGACTACTTATCTTTAAGACATGTTTTGTAGACGTTGACGGTGGTGGTGGTGGTGGTGGTGATGTTGACGATACAGGCACCTCTTCTGTGCCTCACTTAATTGATAACCTTCAGAAATCCTGAGAGGTCAATGTCATTAGCTATTTCATGGAGTACTTGAGACTCAGAAAGGGGTAAATTGCAGTGGTGCCTCAGTTCACAAACCTACTTTCTTCTACAATTTTGGAAAAAATGCCCACATTTATGTTTGTGTGGGAAAGATGGCAACGGTCCTGTTTGTCACCTGAACCAGGTTTTGCAAACAAAAACACAATTTTGTCAAATGCTTCTGTTTGCGAACCAGATGGTTTTGGTAGTTTCCCAAGGTTGCAGAGTTAGTAAGTAGTACAGCTTGGATTTAAACTCAGGTCTCTGGTTTTAAAGCCCAGGCTCTTTTCTTATCCCTCATTCTTGTGATCTTGTATTTGCTTTCATTTACCATAGTTCTTGGCCTCTCTACTACACAGAACTCCCATAAGACATGATAGGAACATAAATATCCAGAGCTTCAGCCACAGTCCTTCGCATAGAGTGTAAGCTTAACCAATCCTCATTGATAAATATACACTGATTATTGTGTTCTTTTCATTCTTTCATGTACATGACTTTGTTGAAGTTGTAGATGTGCTGGCTTGTGTAGATGTGATGCCTTGGGTGCCCTTTGTTAGCAGAGCTGTCCAGTGTTACAGGATGGTGATCTCCCTATGCTGAATAGAGTCCAATGGGATACACTAAGTGCTGCCAGTCCAGTGCATCCTGCTTTTCTCAGTGACCTCCACCTGAATTTAATAATAGATCATATTTACCAAGTGCTTTTGCATGCATTAACTTTTGTGGTCATCAATAAAATCTTGCAAGTGTGTGTTCTTATCATCACCCCCCCCCTGTGGTTGGAATCTGAGGCATGTGGCTTGCCCAGGACCAGTCGGGCAGCAAGTGGGGAGCCCTAGAGCCCAGCATCCTGGTGCTCTGCAGCTGACCCTGGCACCAGCCCTGCTAAGTGTTTTCCTCTGTCCCCCTCCCAGGTGATCGAGAAGAACTTGAGTGGCTGGTGGTACATTCAGATTGACGATAAGGAGGGATGGGCTCCGGCAACCTTCATTGACAAGTATAAGAAGACCAGCAGTGCCTCAAGACCTAATTTTCTGGCTCCCCTGCCCCACGAGGTGACTCAGCTCCGACTCAGAGACACAGCAGCAATGGAGAACAATATAGGCAGTGAAACTGTGGGTCCCTCTCGGCCCCTGCCCAGTGCACCTCATGGTGCCATGGATTCAGGGATGCCGTGGTCCAAAGATTGGAAATGTGGGAAGGAGGCCCTAAGGAAGGCATCTTCAGACACATCTGCATCAGCAGGCTATGAGGAGATCTCAGACCCTGACCTGGAAGAGAAGCCCAGCCTACCCCCAAGGAAAGAATCTATCATCAAGTCTGAAGGAGAGCTGCTGGAGAGGGAGCGGCAGAGGATGGAGCAGCTCCGGGGCTCTTCAACCAAGTCTCCTGGCATGATTTTGCCAATGATTCCAAGTAAACATGCACCCCCTGCCCGGGATAACAGGAGGCCCGAGCCCAAACCTGACAAAAGCAAATTGTTTCAACTCAAAAATGACATGGGGCTGGAGTGTGCCCACAAAGTATTGGCAAAGGAAGTGAAGAAGCCCAATCTCCGGCCCGTCTCCAAATCCAAAACTGAGCCACTGGAGGATAAGCCAGAAGCCATTCCCCAGAATCCATTCTTGAAGTCTAAACCTCAAGTTAGGCCAAAACCAGCTCCATCTCCCCGGACAGAGCCACCTCAGGGCGAAGATCAAGTGGACATCTGCAACCTCAGAAGTAAGCTCAGGCCTGCCAAGTCCCAAGAGAAATCCTTGTTGGATGGGGAGGGCCACCAGGCTGTTGGAGGCCAAGACATGGCCTTCAGCCGAAGTTTCCTCCCAGGGGAGGGACCTAGCCGTGCCCAGGACAGGTCTGGCAGACAGGATGGGCTCAGCCCAAAGGAAACATCCAGTAGACCTCCTCCAAAGGCAGCCAAGGCCACAGAGGCTGGACCTAAAAGTGTACCCGTCCCTCTCCAAGACTGTACCCATCAGAGACCTGTGGTCCCACCTCGAAGACCACCGCCCCCTAAGAAAACCTCATCATCCAGGCCCCTCCCAGAGATCAGAGGGCCACCACATGAAGCCGGTGAAATCAGGGTAGTTCCTGCCCCAGGCCGTGCCCTCCTCGTCCCTCCCAAAGCCAAACCTTTTCTCTCCAACTCTTCTAGGGGCCAAGATGACGTGCAAGGCAAAGGTGGGCTAGGGCCACGGGTAGCCGGCAAGATGGGAGAAAACAGGGAGAAAGCAACCACAAGCTCCTTCCCCAATGCCGATGGCCCAAAAGACTCTTTGTATGTGGCTGTAGCCAATTTTGAAGGAGATGAAGATACGAGCAGCTTCCAGGAAGGGACGGTATTTGAAGTCCGGGAAAAGAATACCAGCGGCTGGTGGTTCTGCCAGGTCCTTAGCGGGGCCCCTTCATGGGAAGGCTGGATTCCTTCCAACTATCTCAGAAAGAAGCCATAGCCTCCTGCCTTCCTGCCAGGAGGTCCTGCTGATCCCTGCTAGCTTTCCCTGTGTATTTAATGTGCATCCTAATTTATCAGTTTCCATGCAGTTTCAAAAAAGGAAGCTACTGGAGTGCTATTTTCTTCCCTCCTTGAGTGGAGAGTGAGTGGCTAAGATATCAGGAGCCCTGGGGTCTAAGCCTCCCATCACAGAATTCCTGGAGCTCCAAAACCACAGCCCTTGCCAAATAGAAATCCATATCAGCATCTCTTCCTTAAGAAAACTCCTCTTGGGCCAGGGATTTAGCTCAATGGTTTCGTTGCTTGCCTTGCAAGCACAAGGACCTGAGTTCGATCCCTGGTACCAAAAAAAAAAAAAAAAGAAAACTCCTCTTTCTGGCCAGTGGCATTGCTACCCACCAGCAGGACAATGACACTTCGGCCAGGCCTCCAGGACTAGACCTGTCTACTGGAGAAACTCCAGACGGGGTCTCTCGTTGCTTGGACAAGGCATGGTAAGGGGCAGCCCTGCCAGTCCACAACAACTTGATCTAATTCCTTCATATGTCTAAAAGCCAGTGGCTTTATTCGCTGTTTTCAAAATGCCTTGTTGGGCAAGAACAGGGTCCTGTAGAACTCAGTTCTGTTGCCAGTCCCCAGGAAAGTGTGCTCTTCCCCAAGGCCTCCGGTCCTCCAGCTTCTGAGGCTCAACTGAATGCAGCTACCCCAGGAATGGGCTGGAAGTCCACTTGGCCATCCTGCCTACCATCTTCTGCTTTGAGACTATGACTGCTTCTGAAGGGGTGGTTCTACATTTCCCTGATGCAAGCTGCAGTCCCTCCAGGGCTTCTAAATGAGAGTTCATACCCTTGTTTGGGCCATTTCATTCTTGTCTACCCAGCACAAGAGTCTCCAAGTCTGTTTGGATCAGAGACCATTCACAAGGCACACCCCACATGGACGCCCCTTGGCTGAGTAGTTAGTAGGTGCCAAACAGTGTACTTGGCAGTTTGCATTTGTATTTTAACCCTCACAACTCATCTTTTTATATTGTACCCACTTTATCAATGAGGAGACTTGGGCTCCATGCACCTAAGGGGACACTAGCTTGGAAGAGGAGGAAAGAAGATTTGAATACCTGTGCCCTTCCCCCTGTAAGAGGCAAACTCTCAGGGAAGAGTTGGAAGCTGTCTGGGTACCAGGAGCAGATGGCCATGAAGCTTCCCTGGGTGAACAAGGAGCCACTTGTGGCTGCTCCCACACTACCTTCCCTTTCAACCCCTGTGGCATATATTGAGGTCTGCCTTGGACCCTCAACAACTGCTTCTCCAGGGCAAGGGATGCCCCAGGATCCTGATAGCCCAGAGCCCTGTTCCCTGACCCATGCTGGTGTCCCCAAGGAGGTAGGGCTCTGTTGGCTCTAGGACCAGCAACTGGGTCTTTACCAAACTAAACATACCAAGCCGTATCCCAGAAAGGAGACAGGCACCCAAGAGAGCTAAGCAGACTCCACCAGTACCTCCCTGCTTCGTTCAGCTTCCTGCTGCTTCCTGGCATATCTAGGGTAGTTGTCTCTGTGTGCACTCTCCCTGGGAGCACCTAGGGCAGCACTTCTACCCTTTTGGCAGATCTGGTTAAGTGAGATCTGAAGAGCTAGAATCAAAACCCAGAGTTCTAGCTCACAGCCCAGAGCTCGGGCCTGTGAACCAGCTGCCAGGAGGTGAGATTAGAAGCCCTTCATCCCACTGATCCTGCAGAAAAGGAGGGAGCCACATCCTACTCTGCCCTGCTTGCCTCAGGGATCTCCCACTCAAAACGTTTCATCTGACACGATGCTTTTGGCACCACAAAGCCAGTTTACCTGGGGTTGCTTGCATCCATGCAGTGCCAAAGATTTTGTGCAAAAAGCTCTCTTCTGCACCCCCTGCCCCAGTCCCTACCATATGCCACACAGGCTCTGGCTACTTCCACAGAAGAAGGTTCCTCTGGTCCAGTGTAGCATTAGTACCTTCCTTTGCTTAGCCTATATGGACTACGCCCCAGGGAATTTAGGATAAGCCTGAGGTGTTTCTTGCAAAGTCTCTTGCCCCTTGACCTGTGCCCAGGACCTTGGGGAAAGGTGGCAGTTGGGGAGAGAGAGCCTGAGAGAGGGGTATACCCAACTCTTCAAGATCCCCCTACTTGGAAGGAGTCCCCATAGCATGGTTTTCCTCAATTTTTGACCCACTTTGGCTTAACCTTTATGAAGCTGTTTTGCAGGGTTTGATTAACTTTCAAGAGACAAAACTACTTGAGTGGTGTGTGTGTGTGTGTGTGTGTGTGTGTGTGTGTGTGTGTGTG